CTGAATGTACATACGAGAAGAGGTCGCTACACTCAGCGACTTAAAATATACTATATGAATAAATTGTTTTCTGTGTTAAAAAACATACACCAAAATTCACTCAGAACATCCGTCATTTTATGTTCCGAACATCCAGTATTTTTTCGTTCCGAACACCGGTCACTTTTTGTTCCGAACATCCGTCATTTTATGTTTCGAGCATCCTGTATTTTTTCGTTCCGAACATCTGGACGGTTTTCATTGCGAACATCCGGAAAAACGATTTTATGTTGTATATCCGATTTCGAACATCCGGTTATTCGACCGGATGTTCGGAAGAGCAAGGACGAAAAAAGACACACCCGAGTATACCACATATGATGATAATATTGATATCCGTGAATCTATAAATATAAAGTAACGTATGATGAACAAGTAATGGCATAAAATGTTGACTCCTATTTCCCTTCGATAGACAGGTGATGAAAGAAAACTTTTTTTATCAAAATATAGAGCTTTTTCTCTTCTCTCGAATTGTATATAATTTATTTTTATAACACGTTTGTAAACGAAACGACACAACAAAAAAGAGAGACACCATCAAAGCATATCCGCACTTTTTGTGGAATTTAGAAAAACAACGGAAGATGTTGATTCCTATATTTCTTGGATAGCTCTTCAATAAACACGTTTTGAAAATGAAATTTTGTTGTCAGTTGATAGGAAATTTGCTCCTCTTTCGAACTGTGTATGATTTATGTTCGTCACACATTTGTGAGTGAAATGAAACAAAGAAGACAGACAAACACTGACGCAATAAATTCGCAACTTTTATATGAATTCGTCAAAAACATCTTGCTAGACAACAATTAATTTGATCTTTCCGTACTCATTAAAAAGCTCTTGTAAAACTGTAGTTACTTCACCTTTTATGAACTCGTTAAAACAGCTTGTAAAACGATAGTTAATTATACTTAACTACTATTTACCAGACGTTTTTGACTGATTTATATAAAAAATTGCAAATTTTTTGTGCAAGTATTTTTCTTTCTTATTTCTCTCATTTCATTTACAAATGTGTGTCAAATATAAATCATATACCATTCGAAAGAGGAGAAAATTTCCTATCAACTGATAACAAAATTTTCTTTTTAGAGCGTATTTATAGAACAGATATAAAGGTCGACATTTTGTACATTCTTTTACAGAAAAAGTGCGGATATATTTAGAGGTGTCTCTCTTTTTTATTGTGTCGTTCCGTTTACAAATGTGTAATAATAATAAATCAAATGCGATTCGAAACAGGAGAAAAAGCTCTATCTTTCGTTAAACAAAGGTTTTCTTTCATCACTTGTCTATCGAAGAGAAATAGGGATCAACATTTTGTATCATTACTTTTGCACCATACATTATATTAACATATTATTAGATCAATCTTAGATTATTAAGTAAAAAAACGAAGATTTCTTTTTTTCTTCATGTGGGTGTGGGGTGGGCGTGGGTGTGGGTGTGGGGTGGGTGTGGGGTGGGTGTGGGCGTGGGTGTGGGTGTGGGTGTGGGGTGGGTGTGGGTGTGGGTGTGGGCGTGGGTGTGGGTGTGGGTGTGGGCGTGGGTGTGGGTGTATATCTCCATCGATACCCTCAGCCACATCTACACCCACACCCACACACCCTGGGCCACCGATTATGGAACCGTTGATAAAGCGGGTTTTGGATTGCTAAAATTCCATCGATTGAGCAATTTGCTTTTGCTTCCAGTTTGATACATAACTGTACCTTCAAGTATGATGATGCGTTATCACGCGCGATAGCCTGAGGAAACTCGATGAGACAAAAAAGTATCGCATGATTTTCATTGCAACTTGCAGGAATTATATTGAAATGCATTGATTTTTTTTGCAGGTTATGAATATCGTGAAGATGCATTATTGTGGTCTCTATTAGGAAAATCAGTACACCATGTCCATCGATATGCTGCTTTCATGCAAACTCTGGAATTTGGATTTTATTTATGTGTTGAATGCGTTGATCGTTTTAAACAATTCCCGTCGTCTGGAAATATTAATCAAAGTTTTATTGAACATATTGAAGGAATATTTCACGAAATATTTTATGAACAAGCTGATGTTGATAAACAACTCCGTCAATTTATTATTAGTAATCAAGTTGTTCTTCGAGCCATTGATTTAGTTTCTGGTTTACTTCAACAAATGAAAATATTAATGGATGATACTAATGCGCCAATATGGAGCAGCAGTCAAGCAAAACCGTTAATTGTATTACCGGTTAACAATAACCGAAGTTTTGATGATGAAGAACATGAAAAAAAGAAAAAAAAGATCCTAGTGTGTGTACTCACCACTTAAATGTATCTGTAGTTTTTTATTTTTAGTCATTTATGCATCTAATGAGAAACTTCAACGTATTGCTGTGGAAACTCTATTGTTTCCATCTTTATGTTTCACAGTAACCCAATCGCATACGAATTCATTATTGCACAATGCATCATCAACAGAGATCCGTTGTGTTTTAGAACATCTAATTAAATGTGAATTGCTTGAATGTGTGCTTAAAGGAATTAAAACTAGCAGACGATCGACAAGTATGTATATAAAACGATTACCAGTTTGTGATCATGATGGTCAAATCGATGCTGATCAAAGATCAATATTTGATGAAAAACTAAAGGAATTTAAATACCATCATTCAAATTTTACACTCAACGAATATTTTTAAAAAAATGCGGCTATTGCGCTTGATGCAATCGGTATAGTTACAGATGAATTAATCAAGTTTTTTTCTTTACCTGAATACATGATGATTGAATTGAATCCCTTGTGTAACTTAAAAGAAACAGGTGCGTTATGTGGTGGATTTCATGTAACATTTTTGATAATAATTTTTAAATAGGAAATACAAAACAAGCCAACACGAGTCGATCTAGTATGGATGTTCAAAGTAAACTAGTAGATAATAATTTGATATTATCGAATGACAGTTTTGAGCGTATGTTGTTTTACATGCCAAGAGATTATATTGTACGGTGAATGCTTTATTTATTTTTCTATTATTAGGTAATCAGCATACTACAACTGTATCCATGGCTCTGGTTACACTTAGTAATGAAAATGATGTCTCATGTATTTTCGATGAAGTTAGCGGTCAACTTGAAACAAATGAGAAACAAAACTGTTCTCTTCCTGGTTCTCGATTCGAACATGGTATTTATTATTTTTTTTCTAATCTTTTAATATATTTATTTGTAAAGATGTTGTTGATATGACTGTTGTTCAAAATGCTAATACTTTATTCGATTTTGTTCGAAATATAAACACAGAATTGGATATTATTCAAAATGCTCATAACAAACATTTAGAAAATAGTACAGCAACTAATAATATTACAGTTATAGCTAATACACAAGTCATGTGCTCGGAGGTAATTGGTGACGTTAGAGTGAAAAATCAAGACTTAAACAAAAAAAAGAAGGAGGATGTGGATGTGGGTGGGGGTGGCGGTGGGGGTGTGGGTGTAAGCTAAAAGAAGGATCACACCCACACCCACACCCAAACCCAAACCCACACCCACACCTACAACCACACCCACACACCCACCCACACACCCCACACCCACACCCACCCGCACCCGCACCCGCACCCACACCCCATACCCACACCTACATCCACACCCATACCCACACCCACACCCACACCCACCCGCACCCGCACCCATACCCACACTCACACCCACCTCTGTAATTGACTAAATCAAGGATTTCGTATCGGCCATTCTTTACGAAAGCCCTACAAAAAATACGTGACGAGTTGCAACCTTCTCAATTCTGATTTTTTCTTTCCTTTGATTTTGTCATAGTACGTAGTTGTTCTGTTTGATGTGTAGACAGATTCCATTGAAGCGTTGTATATTAGAGTGCTCTTTCATATGGACGTTTTGAATTTGGGAGCCGGCTCGTATTCTTTTTTTGCAGCGCCGAAGTTTTACATCCTGCCATAGAAATCGCGCTTATTAATAAGAAAAAAAGTTTACTGCTTATGCTCTTGAGACTTTGTTGACTAACAAAACATGAAAGGACGAAAGAATTCACTTGAATTTCGAATGTACAAATGAAGTGAGTGTTTTTTAAGAGAGAGTCCGCGAAAAACTCAAACATTTTTCTAGACACCGACCGGGACAAATTTTTTTCCAATTTTAACTATATAGTTCGGAAGAGCACTCATTTTTTGCCGACAAATCCAAAATTTTATCGATTTGAAACCTTTTCTAAAAAATTTTAGCCTGTGTCAACTTTTTTCACCCCCCCGCCATTTTGTTCGCAAATTCACTGTTAATCATATTTTGACATTTTCTCTAAAATGACTAACGCTGTCGAGTTCATCGAAGTTTTATTTGATAGCTATTAAGAGAGGGTTCGCGAGAGAATCACCCTAGGTCGCCGGAGAAAATTTTTTTTTTCGATTTTATTTTCTTAAATGATAGGTCTAGTTAAACTATAGTTAAAACCAAAATATTAACACATTTGGTTTTACCTATAAAAAATGCGAGCTAAAACAAGTTTAAGGGGGTCAAAATTGACCCTAAAAAGTCGCTAAAAATGGGTGTGCTCAGTATTTTCACATTTTCTCACGAATGGTTTGACCGTTTGAGATCGGGCACATCTCATTAGATAGGGAATAGTATAGGCTACAAATTTATTCAACTTTGATGATTCATATCTGAGATAAAAGAAACCTTATAGATCAAAAACCTTCCAAATCTCAAGAAATTCGACACTCTGGGATAGCAGTATTTTGGGCTTTTCTTGAGTGGTGCAAGCGGTCCCAAACTTCTTTTTTTACCAGACATAGATCTTATCAAGATACATCTTTTGACATTAAATTGTCAAGAC